GGGGGTTGGGGGGGGGTTTTTTTAATTAGGGGGGTAGATTTAGTGATGTGGTAAAGGGTGGTAATGATGTGGTAGGGTGGTAGTGGTTGTGATGGTGGTAAGGGTGATAGTGGTTGTGATGGTGGTAAGGGTGATAGTGCTGTGAGGTGGTACAGGTGGTAGTGACTGTGGTAGAGGGTGGTAGTGATGGTGGTAGAGGGTGGTAGTGATGGTAGTAGAGGGTGGTAGTGATGGTGGTAGTGGGTGGTAGTGGTTGTGATGGTGGTAGAGGGTTGTAGATTAGATTAGATTTTGCCACCGAAGTGGCTAGTTTATTGTGCACCCCATATCCATCCTGTGGATGGTAGCCTAACAGCATATGGATACACAAAAGGCCTAGGAACTAGGCCCCAAAAGGGTTAACAGGTGTACATACGGGTTTTTATCTACATATCTAAAGTTCCCTTATCTGTTACATGCAAATTTAGGAAATTTGCTTAGTATATCTAGTATCTTATTTTCATTAATAAGATATCTTGACATGTCACATAGGTTATTATACTGTCTGTCTATGTATTCCTCAATAAGTGGACAATTGAGCACATAGTGTTCAAGACAGTGACCATATGCCTGATCACATAATTTGCATTTAGTTTGATCATCATCTGTGTGTCTCCCAAACTGCCAGAAGTACTTGAACCAAGCCTAAGCCTGGCCACTACAACATCAGTCAGTCTGTTCACATTGCAAGTTGCTCCATAAACATACTTATCTACGTTCATGTTATAGTGGGTTATAGACCTACTCAGGCTTCTAACTGCATTCCTATAACAATCATTTTCATTATTCACTTTTCTCCTAATATTATTCTTAATGCTAAACACAGATATACCAAAGTTATATTCTACATTCTCCTTCTGGGTACTCTTCTTGGCTAATATATCAACCTTATCATGAAGGAGTAATCCAATGCATGATGGGATCCAGAGCAATTGTACATTAATTCCTTTGTCCCTGATTTTTGAGTATCTATACCTGGCTTCTCCAATGAGCATGTTGTTGGAGTCATTATATGAGTCAAGAGCCTTCAGTGATGACACAGAATCAGTAATGATAGAGTCAAGCTCAGTGTCATAGGTTAGCTTTAGTGCCATTAGGATTGCAAACAATTCAGTTTGCAGTGTAGACACCCAGTTGTTAATTCTTATGCCTAACTCAACAATTTTATTATCGTTCTTAAATAGGGAGGTGGCAACAAGAGCAGATGCAGCCCTGCCAGAAGACTCCTGTTTAGATCCATCAGAGTGGTAGTGATGGTGGTAGAGGGTGGTAGTGGTTGTGATGGTGGTAGAGGGTGGTGATAGAGGGTGGTAGTGATGGTGGTAGAGGGTGGTAGTGATGGTGGTAGAGGGTGGTAGTGGTTGTGATGGTGGTAGAGGGTGGTAGAGATAACCTCTCCTCCTTCTCTCCTCCTTGCCGTCTTCCATATGCCTACAAGTCTTCAGTAAAGGTAAAAGTGATGTTAAATGTTCATTTATCCATTTCATTAGTCCTTTATACAGTGGAACCTCTACTTGCAAGTTTAATCCATTCCATGACCTTGCTCGCAACTGGATTTGCTCGTTTGCAGAGTCAATTTTCCTCATTTAAATTAATTGAAATGCAATTAATCCGTTCCAGCGGAATTCTGTACTTCAATAATTTCACTAATATCAACTCTACGGCTTATTTATCTATCTCACTTCATCAAATATGACATAATAAACAATATAAATAACATAGAAACCTAATATAAACTCTAAAATGAATAAAATATGTCATTCATGTAGTGGTATGGATGGTGTCGGTGGTGGACGAGAGTTTGTCTGGACACCGGGCAAAATTCTTCAAGAATAATTTCGCTAATATCATCTATACGGCTTATTTATCTATCACAGTTCATCTAGTATGACATAACAAACAATATGAATAACATAGAAACATGATATATACTCTAGAATGAATAAAATATGTCATTCATGTAGTGGTATGGGCGGTGTCGGCGGTGGACAAGAGTTTGTCTGGAGACCGACAAAAATACTTCATGAATAATTTCACTAATATCATCTATACGGCTTATTTATATATCACAGTTCATCTAATATGACATAACAGACAATATAAATAACATAGAAACACGATATATACTCTAGAATGAATAAAATATGTCATTATGTAACAGGTGGAGGCGGCCACAACCGCTCCCTCTTTGTTGTGGTAAACACTGCCATCTAGTGACGACCTTTTGAAGCCGTCTATTATTACAATTATTATATGTAGTACATATGTATTATTATTATACATATTATTATTATTATTATTATTATTATTATTATTGTATTATACTATTATTATTATAATTATTATTATTATTATTATTATTATTATTATTATTATTATTATTATTATTATACATATTGTTATTATTCATATTATTATTATACATATTATTATTATTATTATTATTATTATTATTATTATAATCGTTATTATTATTATTATTATTATTATTATGTAAATTATTTGTAATTTTTATTCACACAAAAAATATAAGATTTACTGTTATTCCTTATTGCAATAATTGTATAAATATGTCAACCCATTAAAACGACTGCATATTGGAATGGACAGTGACGTCATTTGTTTACACTGAAACAGACAAGCAATGGATCATTTCTCCTACGTTGAGCTCTATTTCAAGGTACTTTTCATCGTGAAAGCAATCAAAATCATATCTATTTCTGTAATATATCTTCCATTCTATCAAATGAGACCAAAAAAACGAGAATACAACCATAAAAACCATTCGAAATTACCACTAAGGGGTGGCTAATTGCTGAGAAGTGAACTCCATTATTTATGCTTAGATTTCTTTCATTTTTGTGTACGTTAAGAAGCATCTTTCCGTCATACATTGCCCAAGTTTCAATAAGATAGTCCAACAAACAAATGAGATACAATTCCCAAGAGCAAGAGCCCCTCACCAGTGTCAAGGAACCTGCCTTGAGGTCTGCTCGCTTGTGGAAATTTTGCTCGCGTATGGAAGCAAAAAATTGACCCATCGACTGCTCGTATTTGGAAAAACTCACACGTGGACACACTCGCAAGTAGAGGTTCCACTGTATTTATTTCTCATTGTTTTCTGTATGTAAAACTATAGTTATAGTTATTCTCTATAAAATGTATTTTTTGTTAATACTTTTGGGTGTCTAGAACGGATTAATTGGATTTACATTATTTCTTATGGGAAATATTGCTTCAGTTTTCATCGAATTCTGTTTTCGTCAGGCTTTCTGGAACAAATTAATGATGAAAACCAAGGTTCCACTGTATAGGTATGGCTGCAAAATAAAGCTATAAAAGCAACTCAGAACAACAATATGTAAATTTTGGTCAGTGCCTATCTTCACACACTCCACAGCCCCAGCAATATTCAGATTCCTTTAACATTAGCATATATGATAATTACCTGGAAGAGCATATCACCAGCAATGACAAGAATATCGTATTCCCAAAGATTCTTGACTCGAAGAGTAAGTTCAAATCTGCAAACCGCACCAATGCTATTAGCTTCAGTGGTAGATCCATCATTTATTATGTTTTCTACAGGAAACTCTGAGGCGGTTGCCCAACGTTCAAAATATTTGTACTTGTCTGCATTGGTGACCAGGAATACATTACTGAAAAGCTGACGCCTGTCACAAGATACACATTGCATTAATAGTTGTTCAAAACTACTGCAAGTAATACTGTATGATGCATGATATGAACAAATTACACATAAATTATAGGTTCATGGATAGCTTTATGAATACAGCTTAACATCTGAATAAACCTCATCAGAATATGTAGCCAAGAAACCTGTTCATTTATAGTACTTTAAGAAATCCCACACATGATCCAAACTGCAAAATTTTTAAAGAAAACTAAATTATGAAACTTATTACTCAAGCCTCTTCACAGTAAGTGTTAGAAGGAAAACCCTTATTAAGGAAAATTATATACAGTATCATAAATGCTAGCAACTGTGTTGTCTTGAAACCAGAAATAATCATATCTAACTTTACAGAAAATAATAATATCTTACTGTTTTTTAAATAAATATCTACAGTATTTCTAACATAAAATAAGTACATTTATGCTAAATAATATATGTTATAAAAGCATCATGTATTTACAGCAACATTTCTACTAGTAAAGACAGTAATAAGGAAACTTAAGAAGACAAGAGAGACTAGCAAATAAATGCTCAAGAAAAGCAGGGTACACTACTTGCTTAATACCAAGCAGCATGCCTAATAATGTTGAAAGTATTGTTTAATCCATACACATCTAACCCACAAACCTAAGATCAAACTTACATGATATTTTGATACATCCTGGACCATTATATTTATTACTTGCTTTGCTGTACTGGCAATAGCATTAAACATTTTTTACCTCAATGGCCATTCCTTTGCAAAGGCAGGTGGCCCAAAAAACATAATACAGCCTCTCCTCACTTAATGACGAAGTTCAGTTCCTAAGACCACATCGGTAAACAAATTCGTTGCTAAGTGAGGTGCATACTATAATGGCAGTGGATTTGTGTCAACCATCTTTGATATTGCTTTAATGTCACTTTTGCACCATTTATAACATTTCTGGTATATTTTTAAATGTTTATACAGTAATGTACTGTATATTGTATTAAAGAGAACAGAGGGAATCAGCTCTAATGTACATTATTTTAGGTATGCACACTAGTCAGAGAGCCCATCGTAAGTCCGAGTCGTCAGTAAACAAGTACGTTGCTAAGTGAGGAGAGGCTGTATTCATTATCATTCATTCAACTGCTTTCTTGCCAAAAGTGTGCTGACATCACAATTCAGATTATCCTCTGACTGCAACATCCCCACCCTTCCTTCAGAGTGCAGGGATTGCCTTTCCCACCTCCAGGATTCAAGTCCGGCTACCTGGTTTCCCTGAATCCCTCCATAAATGTTACCTTGCTCACGCTCCATTAACCCTTTGAGGGTCGACAGGCCCTCTCCGAAACTCGTTCTCAGGGTTGGCCAAATTTAATTAAAAAAAAAAAATTATTTTCTCTTATGAAAAGATAGAGAATCTTTTCCCGATCATAAAGACACCAAAAGTTTGAAATTTGATAGAAAACTTACGGAATTATGCTCTCACAAAGTTAGCGGTCTCGGCGATGTTTACGCATCGGCGATTTTGCCCACTTTGAGCCCCATTTTCAGCCAATTTCACTGTACCGACAAAAAACATGAATATTTCGCTAGAACTCCATTTTTTCTATCGAATGGGTGCAAGAAACCACCCATTTATGAAATTCAACTATCCAGTACAGTGGTCAGAATTTAGCAATTTTGCCAATTTCACACAAATTTCAAAAGATGCCAATTTCCGAATAGGGTCCAGAATAAACAAGAAAGACATTCCTGGCACTAAAATGACATTTCCTCTAGTCATTAGTCACGTCTCAAGGCCCCTCTTATATCTTTTGCTTTCCACTTTGAATTTTTATTCTCACAAAAAATATAAGATTTACTGTTATGCAGACTTCTGCATTAGTGTAAAAAATGGTATAAATATTATTGGTGCACTTGTGAAAGAATATTAGACTCACCAGTTGACGTGTATTGCACGCTTGGCACGATTTGTTTACTTTTGAAGTTTGGTAAAAATCGAACATTTCTGCTACTTTGAGCTCAATTTCAAGGCACCTTTCATTGTAAAACCAGTCAAAATCATCTCAATTTCTGTAATATGTCTTTCCATTCTATAAAATGAGACCAAGAAAACTAAATACAACAATAAATACCATACGAAAATACACTGCAAAGTTGCTGATTTATTCCAAAAAAATGGTCAAAGTTTTTTTTTTTCTCATTATGCACTGTGTGCTGCAGGATTTTTTTTAGACTGTGCACACTGACCACATAGACCCATTCTTTCATATGAAGGCCTAACAGCTTTCTCCCACTAGATTTGAGGCCGCTAGAATTTATGCGTACTAGTACGTCAAAAACCCCTACGCGTAAGACGTACTAGTACGACCAAAACCCTCAAAGGGTTAAAAACCACTTGTCTCCCTTCACTCTAATCTAACACACTCACACAGGCCTGCAAAATAATTATCTTAAAACATTACAGGAAAAAGACTTGTAAAGGAGAATCAACAAAGTATATTTACGTATTAATTGCATCCCACCAGTGGTCAAGGATCCTCTTGCCTTGAGGTGATGGAAGCAGAGCTTTGGGCACCCCCTTCAGGTGGCCATATCTGCCACTTTTATCATCCTGTTGCAAACAGAACATGTAGAAAATATATTTCAGAGTAGTCATTACATACAATAAACAACTTTTACATTTCTGTTAATACCATATTATTTTAATTTAATGAAGTAGCTAAATTGAATTGCATATTAGTAAAAAAAATTTTTTTTGTAACACTGCCTGTTTCCCACTGAAGCAGAGTGACCCAAAAAAGAAGAAACACTTTCATCATCACTTGTCTTGCCAGAAGCTTACCAATACTACAGCTCAAAAACTGCAATATATCTCCATCCCTCCTTCAGAGTGCAGGCACTGTGCTTCCCATTTTATAAACATAGCAATATTGCTATACAGGTGCTCCTTAACTTATGATGAGGTTATGTTCTGACAAGTCTATCGTAGGTCAAAAATATCCTAAGTTGACTATGAATGCAATATGTTAGATATGCTAAATAAATAAGTAAATAAATAACTACTGTCACTGAATAAGCAAATAAACAAATAATTACTGTAACTAAATACCAATATTGAAAAATAAATAAATGAATACAGGTTACGGACTTGCCACCTTCATGCCGGGTAATTATTTCAAGTTTCATCTCCAAAGTAGTTGCTACTGCACCATCATCAAGTTGAAATATCCTAAGTCAAACCATCATGAGTTGAGGAGCACCTTCTTTCTACTGGCCGTATCCCACCGAAGCAGGGTGACCCAAAAAGAAAAATGAAAGTTCAAGGTGACCCTGTATTTATAAAATGGAATTTGTTAATACATACTTTATTGAAAATTTAGTTTAGTTACTTCATAATAATACATTATTATTACAATTATTGAATTCTATGGAAGAAAATTTAACCAGAGTAACTTCTCACCTGAATTTCTTTACTGAGCTTCTGTGCATGACCTGCAGTGAGAATAATGCACACTAGACCACGGCCCTGTAAGAGGACAACACAAGTCATGATACTGTATAGCACATCAGTATACCTAAGCAAGGAATCAGGATCATTAAGTTCTGCAGATATAAGCATGACTGAGCAAACTGAGAATGATGTATACCAAAAGAAATTATATTTCAATTGTACAGCACAAGAATTCACGCAATTTTTCATAAAAATAATTACAGTAAAATTAAATAAAAACTATTGATTTTATAAGTATTTTTAAGGCAAGGCAATTCCATTTTAGTAGTCATAAAACAAGCATATCTTCTTTATGCATTTCTGCAAATCCTGATTTCTTCTTTACAGTTAACCCTTTCAGAGTTTTGGCCGTACTAGTACGGCTTACTCGCCAGTGTCCATGACATACTAGTACACATAAATTCTAGTGCTTTCAAATCTAGTGAGTGAAAGCTGGTAGGCCTACATATGAAAGAATGGGTCTATGTGGTCAGTGTGCACAGTATAAAAAAAATCCTGCAGCACACAGTGCGTAATGAGAAAGAAAACTTTGACCGTGTTTTTGGATTAAAACAGCGACTTTGCACTATATTCTCGTATGGTATTTATTGTTATATTCTAGTTTTCCTGGTCTCATTGTATAGAATGGAAGACATATTACAGAAATTGTGATGATTTTGACTGGTTTTACAATGAAAAGTACTTTGAAATTGAGCTCAAAGTAGCAGAAATGTTCAATTTTTACCAAAGTTCAAAAGTAAACAAATCATGCTAAGCATCCAATACACCTCAGCTGGTGAGTCTAATATTCTTTCACAAGTGCGCCGATATTATTTATACCATTTCTACACTAATGCAGTAGTCTGCATAACAGTAAATCTTATTTTTTTTATGAGAATAAAAATTCAAAGTGGAAAGTAAAAGAAATGTAAGAGGGCCTGGGGACGTGACTAATGAACAGAGGAAATGTTGTTTTAGTGCCAGGAATGTTTTTCTTCTTAATTCTGAACCCTATTTGGAAATTGGCATTTTTTGAAATTTTGTGAAATTGGCAAAATGCAAAATCTACCACTGTACTGGATAGTTGAAATGGGGAAAATTTGGTGTTTTTTGTACTCACTCAAGAAAAACTGATTCAGCAAATAGTTAGATTTTTGTGACTATACTTTGGAATGGCAAAATGGGCTCAATGCAAAAATCGCCGTGCATAAACACGTGGCCCCTAACTTTGCAGAGATAATCCAAAAGTTTTCCCAAAATTTTTTCATATTTTTGGGCCTTTATCGGAAAAGTTTCCATCTTTTCAAAAGAAAAAAAAAATTTTTTTTTTTTTTTAAATTGGGGGACCTTGAAAAAACAAGCTCTGAAGGGCCCTGGGACCCTAAAAAGGGTTAAAAAAGCATCAGCCATATTTTGGTACCGGATTTCCCTGGAGAAGTTCGGGGGGTCACACCCCCGCACCCGGTCTGTGCCGGGCCTCAGGGTGGATCAGGGCCTGAAAACCCGGGCGTTACTGCGGGCTGCTGCAACCCAAAGTAACCCACAGCCCGGCTGTCAGGTACCAATTTTAGTTGCTGCCCAGTGCCTGCTTGAAGACAGCCGGGGGCCTTTGGTAACCCCCCTTTTCGAGTCTGGGAGGCTTTTTACATCTTGGGGCCCCTGACACTTATTGGTTGTCTCTTACGTGTATTTTCCCCTCTGCTTTTTTTTGGGGGGGATTTTTGCATCATTGCCGATCTTTTGCTTTTGTAAGAGTGATTTCGTGTGCAATTTTGGGGTACTAGTCCCTCTAGGTTTTTCCGGGTGTTAAATATGTATCTCTCCCGCCTACTTCCAGAAGTATTTTTACAATTAATTTATTACTATCCTTAATTTTATTTACGGGTTTAATAAAATATAAATATTTAGGTTAGAGCATGAAGAATTATTCAAATTAAATGCACTAGCCAGAGGTTAGATGGTTAGACGGTTTAGATTTGGGGGTTTTGGTGGGTCATTTATTATGTACTGATCTAAACTAGGTTTTTAAAACTATTTTTTATAAAAATTTAAAAGGAGTAAAATATCATTAATTGCTGTATTAATAAAAAATTTAAACTGAAGGTTTGGGGTTCCTAAGCTAAACTTTAAAAAATTTCTGTAGGAAAAATGCCATAACCCTAATATTTTACATAAAAAAATCTATAGTCAAAGCTAACTAAGTATAGGGGGAAAAATTTATTTTTAACATATGCCACGGTAAAAGATAGAAATATTCAGTAAACAGTATCTTCATGGTCCTCAATGATTTTATTTTAATTAAGACAGAGTCAAGCCCCTACATGATACGTAAATATTTTCCATAAACAAAGAGGAAAGTGAAAAACTACAGCTAAACTGAATTTAATGGACATAAATTTTAACAAATTTTGGTTTTTAAAGGACAAACCCCATTCTCCTTGTTTTTCAGAATTGCCCACTATTCTATAGTCAAAGAAAAACAATGTCGTATCAGTTTAACGGACACTTGCATTAAACGACACCTTTCCTCTTTTACCTTTAAATTGAGGTTTTCATTTGGTTAAACAAAAAACGGGAATTGAATTGCACGTACGTGCCATAAGGACTCTAAGGGTTTTTTAATACCCAAAAGGGTTGGGTAACCAATATTTATTTTATTTTCAAAATGGGAGAAGGAGGTGGAGTTTTTTTGTGCTAGCATAAAACTTCAGGGGCTGAATTCAACACAGTTTTTGCAAATAAACTGAGACTGTCTCTGAAATGGGTTAAATCCTTGACTTAAAAATGATTTGACCCCCAACCAGATTTATTTAACAAAAACAAGCCATTCTCAACTACTCGAATAAACAGTTTTGGAAGGAACTTTTTTTCCGAGTGCAAATTTATTTAGAAGGGGGTGGTTCGAGAAAAACCTGCCTATATGGGGCCGTAACCTACTACATGCTCCTTTTTATTCCTTAAGATGACTAAAAAATAAAACCAAACCCCAACGCGGGGAAATTTTTTTGATACATAAAAAAAGTGCTGACAGCCAATTTTGAGATATTAATTCACTCTTTTTTCAATTGCAATCATTTACAATTATACGCACAAAAGATTTTCCCAAAAACGCATCCCGCAATCACATTTCCACCGAAGGACTTTCCACCATGGTTATCTTGAGGAGGCTAGCATCTTTAAGTCCCCGGTTTCATCAGACTTTGGTTTAGATAAATTTTTGTTGTTTAAATTTTTAATAAAAGATTATTTTAGCAAAAAATGGAAATTATGATTTATTAATGTATTAATAAAATCATTACTAAATTAAATATAAAATTTATAAAACAAATATTAAAATCAAAAAATAAAATCGAAAGTTTTATCATTCATTTTTTTTTTACATGTAGGTTTTAGGGTTTTAAAGGGGTCCCTGTGAGACTGTACCAACCCAACACTACCTTGTTTGTGGATGTTCTCCGCACCTAAAAATGACCTCTATTTTCCCAAAATTCTTTGTAACAAAAGCAATGTGCAACACTGGGTAGCTTTTTTGTGGTGTTTCACATGCCGCATTCATCAAGTTGTCGGGATTAACTTTATCTAATGTTTTAAAAAATACTAAATAGGAGGTTCCCCAAAAAGTTCCAAAGCCCACGTAAAATCCAAATGACAAACCATACCACGGGTTGGGATAGTACATGCGTCAGGCGCGCGATCTGGAGTTTTAATCTCTAATCGTATGTTTATCCCCCCGTGGGAGGGTTTTTTTGAAATTGTGTCATTACGATTTCGTGATCCAAAGGGGACCGTTTTAAACCCATTGGGGGCCCAGTTTCTAGGCCTTTTGTTTTCCCAAACTTTTTCTACCGTCCACAGGGTGGATATGGGGCGCACAATAAACTACCCCTTTGGGGGCAAAATTTAAACTAATCAATCCACGTTGGAAGTGTTTTGTCAGTTTGGGGGGGCAAGAGGGGAAAACTAAATGTTGATTCCCATAAGCAACTGCAGTGACAACAGCATCCCCGACTGACACCAGTAGTGCGGTCACGGGTGAAGGAAACTCTAAGCAAACTGCATATCCTAAATTCAAATTCAAATTCAAATTTAAAGTTTTTTTTTCCATAAAAATTACAATTTGAATTTACAGAATTTTGGTTGTTGTGTGGGTTTTCATTGTTAAATAAAGTTACAGAGTGACCACTAGAACGCCCAGCTGGCTAGGCTTTTGGCAGACTTAGTTTAATTCTTTTTTTTAAAATTTTCAAATTAGAAGTAATTGGTATTTTGGCTAAGTGACAAATACTAGTTTGTGATTTGCAATGGGAATCTTTTGTTTTTGGCACGTCATATTTCGTATTTGGGGTATCAAGGATTCTTATTTTAAGATTTAGATTAATATTTCTTTTAGGTCAAAGGGTGATGAGTGTAAGTTGAACCACCAGGGGGATTCGTGATTTAAATTGATGGGGTTTTCAGGAGAAAAGATGTTTTCTAAGGGATTTTGAGGTTAAAAAGTGTCTGCATTTCAGAGTTCTCAGTAGGTTTGTTCCAGATTTTGGGGGCCTTTGAATACATTGAATTTTTGAAAGGGTTTATCGACATGGGGAATGCCCGTGAATGTTTGGTCTGGTGTTATGCCTGGGTTCTGTCAAAAATATCAAAAAAGCGTTTTGGGTCAGGTTGATATTGGATTTTAAAGGTCCTGTAGATGTAGATTGCACAGTATAAGGTGGGGGTACGAACAGGGGGTAAGTTTTAAACATGAAGAGTGGGGGGGGGGGGGGGGTTGCCAGGGGTGGGATTTTGTGATTAAACTTTTTCTGCAGCTTTTTTGGGGTTATTATTGGCTTTAGGTGTGTTGCTGCAGTTGATCCCCAAGCACAAATAGCATAGGTGAGGTATGGATAAATAAGTGAGTGGTATAGTGTGAGAAGGGCATTTGCGGTACGTAGTATCGTATCTTGGAGAGGATCCCAACTGTTTTGGATACTTTTTTGTTATGTGTTGGATATGGGTGCTGAAATTCAGGTTGTTGTCAAGGTATAGGCCTAGGAATT